CCCAAATACCAGAATGTCTCGCTTTGCCTGCAACATTATTGTTGCTTGTTCTTAATAATTTTAGAACTCCATCTTGAATTTTATAGTTAAATAATTTTGGAGCACCGTAAAGTAAATTTTATTGAATTGTATTTATTGTATTGTATGTTCTGTACTGTTTTAATGTTTTAACTTGGGCATTCGTGCCCCTTGTGAGCTGCCCTGAGTCTTCGGGGAGGGCGGGGTATAAATTTAAAGATAAATAAATAAAATAAATAAACATCAATGAGATGCCAGGGCAGGGGATGCCACACCCCTGGCAGGGGCTCGGCCGCCCTACATCAAAACCGGGCTCTGAAACCATGGTTCGAAGTTGTTTTACTTACCACAGTTAATCTTGATGTAATGGTGCACAGGACGTCTTGCCTTCCCCCGTTTCCCTGCCTCTGAGCCTCTCCCCCCTAATTTTTTGGGATTTAGAAGTTATGCATGCCTTTATTTTCTTCTGAATTAAGCCACCATGTTGTTTCCTTCTCCCTTCCTTTACCGTGTCTTGGGACTCCTCCAAACATGACTCGAGTTTGAGGTTGCTAGGGTGGGGCGTTGCCGGGGCTCCGAACCATTAAGGGGCTCACCAGCTGGTCGTCAGTGGTCTTTGTTGTCCCTTGTCACAGGGTCTGGTCAGATCGGAGGCAGCAGGCTTCATCTGCACCTTGGCTAGGCCTTGCAACCACTGACAGGGCACCGCGGAGTCACTGGGAGGTCTGAGGCCTTACCTTTGTTCGGATACCCGCTGCCCGCTGTTCCCCTCGGAAAATTTGCATTTGCTTTCGCGACATTTAATGAGTCCCTCTTGGTCAATTCCATGAGGACCATCATGAACCGCCAGCAGCCCTGCATGTCCACCGTGGTTCTCTACTCGTTCCTTCTTAGCTGGGAGTTGTTTGCCTTGGGCTCTCTCTGCCCCAGTCTGATAGGAGAGATGTTTGGGGCAGGATCCAACTCACTGTCTAGATCCAGAGTCCAGTCGCGCCTTAGAGACCAATCAGATTTTCTGGGCATAAGCTTTTGAGAGTCAAAGCTCCCTCTGTCTGTCTGTCTAGCTAGCTAGCATCTGTCTACCATCTATCTATCATCTGTCATCTATCTATGTATCTTTCTATCAGTCTTACCACGCTCTCCCTCTCTCTCATCTATCATCTATATGTCTGCCTCTGCCTCTATCTCTATCTATATAAATCTATCTACTTCTCTGTCTGTCTCTATATTTATATAGATTTTTCTGTCTGTCTGTCTCTATATCTATCTATCATCTGTCATCTATGTATCTTTCTATTTCTCCTATCTTATCTCTCTCTATATATAGATCTATCTGTCTGTCTCCGTATCTCTATAGATCTGTCTGTCTGTCTGTCTGTCTATAGTGTAGTTGTTAAGTGTAGTTGTTCAAGGCTTTTTTTGTAGAAAAGTCCAGTAGGAACTCATTAGCATAATAGGCCACACCCAGCAGCAGAAACTCATTAGCATATTAGGCCACACACCACTGATTGCACCACTCATTAGCATATTAGGCCACATTCCCATGTTACCAGAAGTGTGGTCATCCAGCCACACCACCTTTTGCTTGTTATTCTGTTTACCTTGTTTGTTGTCAAAACCCAGGGCCTTTTTTTGTAGCAGGAACTCCTTTGCATGTTAGGCCACACACCCCTTATGTAGCCAGTCCTAATGAGTTCCTGCTGTTGGGTGTGGCCTATTATGCTAATGAGTTCCTGCTGGGTGTGGCCAACTTGGGAGCCAGCCGGAACTCTGTTCCTGTGCGTTCCTGCCCAAAAATAGCCCTAGTTGTTATCCCCCCCCCAAGTCTGTCTCATGATAATTATTTCAATGGACTTGTTTGTTTCAGGGTCGTAAAGGTGCAAGCGGGGAACCGGGCCTACCTGGTCCTACTGGAATCCGTGGCGGGTACGGTGAGAGGGTAAGACAGTGGTCCTTGGTCAAGTGACAGTTCAGCAAAATGGGGCTGACTTCATCAGGGAAAAGAAAAGCACGCCCAGTATAGTTTCTGCACATTTGGATAGCTCCTCCCTTGATGTTTGTGCAGGAAAGGCATACCAAAACCACCTCATAGTACATGCGAAGAGAGCGGCACCTACTCACGTTAATCCTGGAGATCTTTCCCGCAGTTCAGAGTGTTAATGGTTCTCCACGCGTACATCTGTTGATCCGTTACCCTGGACGAGGCCTGTCATATACCAAAGTTCTTAGAAAATAGAGAGAAACTTTAATTGCATTTGCAGCTATCAAGACAGTCAAGCAGAAGAGCAGCCAGTGAATATAAGTCACAGTTTGCATCTGGGGATTACCATTTAATAACAGAAAGTTATTGTATGGAGGCAGTGTTCCCTCTAAGCTGAGTTAGTGCGAGCTAGCTCACAGTTTTATAGCCTCCGGCTCACACATTTTTGTCTTAGCTCAGGAAGGATGACTTCAGAGCCAACTAATTGATGCAGTAGCCAAATCGCTTGCTCACAACTTTAACGCCAGGAGCTCACAAAGTAGAATTTTTGCTCAGAAGACTCCACAGCTTAGAGGGAGCATTGCATGAGGGAGGGAATTTCTTAATTTAAATGAACTGGGCATAGTGTGTTTCCACAGAACAGTGTATCCAAATGAAGGCACATTCTGTATCTAGCATTTCCTCCGGTGTTTTACCAAACCCACGCTGGAACAGAAATTCCCCTCTGCATTGAATGCCACTTTCACTTTGGTTGATTGTCGGATTTTATGGCAGTGTCCAGACGGCATGCCACTTTCACGTCGTATTATGGTAGCCGTCTGCATGGATTTTAGGCCGTTTTATCGTCATTCAGGGCTGACTTTGCAGTCACTACCGCGTTGGCCCAAGGTATCTGAATGTGGTTTTTCGCTGCATCTTTTTCTGTTCCAGTGTGGGTTTGGTAAAGCAATTGAACAAATGCTAGATGCAGAATGGGCCACAGTTGGGTTCTTTTATTACCTAAAAATGATATGGCCCCATGTTTTCGGAACTTGCTAAAACTGGGGATTCCGAAACTGTGGGGTAAGAAGGAGAAATCTTTGGGTTTGCGCCTGGTGAGGAAAAATCTACTGTGGAAAATTTCACATAATGCGCCGTTTTAAAAACATCAATGTGGGGGATTTCACTACTGCGGAAATGGTCCAGGCCTGAACTCTCTCTCGAAGCTAAAATGACCAAACTGAGATTGGTCACATGATGAGAAGACAAGACTCACTGGGAAAGACAATCATGCTAGGAAAGGTGGAAGGCAGCAGGAAAAGAGGACGACCCAGCAGGAGACTCGATTAAGGAAGCCCCACAGCCATCAGTTTGCAAGACCCAAGTAAGACTGCTAACCAGAGGATGTTTTGGAGGTCATGGATTCAAAGGGTTGCCATAAGTCAGAAGCAATTTGACAGGGCTTGACACGCAACGCACATCTCCATTGCTTCGTGGTAAAACACATAGTCGGTGAGCGGAATGTTTTGAGTTCTGTCTCCATCACGTTCTCTTAAAAGGATCTAGGATAGCAAGGCTGGGAAGGATCCCTAGGGGTTCAAGCCTACAATATTGGGCTAGGGCAGGGGTGGCCAGACTTGCTCAGCGTAAGAGCTGCAAAACACGAACAAATATCACATGCACGTTTTTATTTTAAAATATGCAAATTTGCTTCTCTTAATTAACATTAAATGAGACTGCCAAAAATAAAAAACAAGGGGTAAAAACAGATATTGATAATGATGTTTATCTGTACAATTATATTTGTTTGTTTGCTAATGATACTTGTTTGAGAGAGAAAAAGAGAGAGAGGTGGAAAGAAAGAAAGAGGTGGAAAGAGAGAGAGAGAGAGAGAGAGAGAAAGCAAATAGATTGAGGAGAGGGAGAAAAAGTATGCCTCCTCTTCCATTCCCCAGCTGCCCTGCCGGGAGTTGTACAATATGTATGAAAGAGCCACATGTGGGTCCCGCCGACTCCCGAGCCACAATTTGGCCACCCCTGGGCTAGGGGGTTTAATGGGGGGGAGGGGCTGTGGTTCCATGGGAGAGCATCTTCCTGGCTTGCAGAAGGTCCCAAGTTCAACCCCCCAGCATCTTTACTTAAAAGGACTGGGGAGTAGGCGGCGTGAAAGACCTCACCCTCAGATCCAGAGGACCCATTGCCAGCCCAGACTGAATTTTAAAAAACTGACCTTGACTGGCCAATGGTGGAAGGCAACTTGCTGTGTCTACTTGCGATGCAATGTATTACAACCAAGTAGACACAGGAAGTTGCCTTCCACCATTGGCCAGTCAAGGTCAGTTTTTATTGCATTCTTCTCTGTTTGTGGTTTGCAATGGCCTATGGCTATATACAGTAAAAACCTTCTCTCTCTCAATACATTGCATGCTTTCCTTAAACCACTTTTCCCCCCCTTGGGTGATTTGTCATCATTTCTCTTCTTCTCCCAGGGCCCTGGTGGAGCTTCCGGTCCCAAAGGTAACCAAGTAAGTAAAGTTTTTGATTCATCGTGTCCTTAATAACACACCCATAGTTTCGTCGCGACTGCCAGCTAACATGACAAGCCTTCATGAATGGGATTTTCAGATGACAGAGGGGATACACGGGTCCACTGGGATTCTAGTTGCCAACCTCCAGGTGGCTCCTGGAGCCTCCCCCCCCGCTATTACAGTTTATCTCCAGACAATCGAAATCAGTTCCCCTGAAGAAAAACAGCTGCTTTGGAGGGTGGAGTCTATGGCCTTATATGGCTGAGGTCCCTCCCCTCCCCAAACCCCACCCTCTCCAGGCTCCACCCCCAAAATCTCCAGGTATTTCCCAACCCGGATCTGCCGACCCTAATCCTAACAAAGGTATTACAGGGGTGTTGTTTTCAGCTTCGGTGTCATTCGACCTGTTCCCAGAACCATTTAAAGATGTGGTCGTAACAGGAAAAGCCAAGCTCCTGTTCATGGCAAACCACAAGCTGAAGGACTTCTGGGGTGATTTGTGACCTGCAGCTGGCTTCGACGTGATCCTTAAATGTAGTCAAGAGGGCATTTTTGCAGCCCTGCCATGCAGGAAATCCTTATCTCCGCGGGAATCATTTTCTGTAGGACTGCCAGGTCTTTACTCATACCTGACCCACAAGCGCCCTCTTTTGGCTTAAAATGGTAAAGGCTGCTCTGATGAAAGAGTATAACGGCTATTCCCCTCAGTGGAATCATGAACTTTCAAGAGAGGGGGTCCAGAATTAATCCAAAGCTATGGTTGCCAACCCCCATATGGGACTTAAAGATCTGGAATTCCAGCTGATCTCCAGATTACAACACTCGGTCCCCTTGGAGAAAATGGCTCCTTTGGAGGGTGGACTTCATGGTATTATATCCTGCCGAGGTCCCTCCTATCCCCAAATCCTGCTTTCCCTCGGCTTCTGAAAAGTACTGGGTTCGCCGCATGGAGGACTCGGACGACGACATGCTCTTGCACACGTTTATTGTACTTAACACAAGACTAACTAAAACGGCCCTGCAAGGCCAACTATATACACACCCACCCAGCACAGCCCTAGTCCATTGGAGGGTTTGAATCTCCCGCCAAAGTGGCCATTGGTTGGAGCTGGGGGGAACTAGGATCCTATGTTCCCATTGTCCAGGGGAGCCAAGCTCCTGTCTTGCCGTGGGCCCCTAGTGGCGGTCCGCGTACACAACAGCTTCACCCCCAAATCTCCAGGAATTTACCTAACCCAGAGTTGGGAGCCTTATGTGATGGCCATGTAGTTCATCTCTCATGTTAAAGAGAGCCCGTTCGGAGCTCTTAGGTGCAAATCGAAAAGGAGGTTTAAGGGTTCTTCCCTTCCAGCACGTAATGGGGGATGGCCCGGAGTCTCCCAAAATGAGGTCTGAGAGCAGACGTCATGCAGAACTTGAGATCTTGGTTTTCCCTTTCAGGGCATTGCAGGAGCCGACGGCCTGCCGGGCAACAAAGGAGAACTGGTAAGTGGCATTAAATCTAGAACTGTGCTCCGCATGCTGAGATCGCAGAGATCGGGGGGGGGGCTATCTTTGCCAGGCATCGGGTTCTGCATTCAAGCGCCCTTCTGCCAGTCCGATGCCGCGTAAAGCAGGCCGCTTGTCTGCTCTTTTTAAAGACCTCATCTGTGGAAAGGGGAAGGAATTCAAGGTTCACACCTGTTCTCCTCCTCCACTGCCCCCCTCCTTCTGCTCCCTGGATCTCAGACCATTGGCCCCTCCTTGACTTTTAAAGGCCAGCCTATAGAGGAGGAGGGTCCACCCACAGTGCCCTGGCTTCCACAGGAGGGCGGGGCTTCCCCAAGAGCGGTGATTGGATAGTAGTTCCGGCCACATACATATTTTGCTTTCAGCTGGAATGGCGATGTGCTCCCACATAACAATCTAGTGTTCCTTCTCTGCTGTCTGTTGTAAAATAGTCAAAAGTATTTCAAATACTCAGAGTATCGATGGATCTTGCTCTATTGGAAAGAAGAGATTTCTTTGCTTTTAAAGACCTTTATTTCTAAGGGTAAAAGGTATACAGGAAACCTACAAGTAAACAAAACATCTAAGAGCTACATTTTCTAAGCTGCCTACAGTTCAACCATTGTTACACACTAACACAGAGATAATGGAGAATCTGTCCTTCTTCTCGACCCCTAGACAGGAAGTCACCTGGAACAAACAACCAATCACCTATCACAACAGAAGTTACTTTTCCCGGGCTAATCCCCCATTGGCTCTCTTGCCAGGTTTCCCTTCCAGGTCAGTCTAAACAATAGCAATACTAGGTAAACAAGTTAACCCTATAATGACTGGATTGTCAGACCTTGTAAACACATACATTTCCAACACTGTCCCTGTTATCCACCATTCCAGCAGCCATGGGTTCCTTCCGTCTACAACGCTGGCCAACTCCCACGACCCGCTCCCGGGCTTTGACCTTGCTTTGTCTCGACTTCTTACAAATGGTGTTCTTTTCACCCAGTTCAATGGATCCACATTTCTTAACCTTATTTCCTCAAAATGTAAATCTGCGTAGAGGATCTCTGAGTTCTGGGGCTGAAACAACTGAGGTTTTCCGTGATACGTAGGTGGCCAATCCAATGATTATCAATAGAAGGATCCCAAAGGTATGGGAAAACTAGCAGTAGCCTCTTTCCACTACTGAAATTTACCTTTTTCCTCCTGTTTTTCCACCTACAGGGACCTTTCGGCCCCCCTGGGCAAAAGGGAGAGGTAAGTTCCACGTATTAAATGATACAGCTTCTCCTCTAATTTATCATACACACTGTAAGGTTCTTTAAAATACTGTGGAGTTTGCACTTAAAATGGGGGCGTTGCTCTCCTATCCTTGCTATAGACTCCCGTTTCCTGCTCACACTTCAACCAGTTTCCACAAAGGTACCATAAGACTCTCACATGCCTAAAGTTTCCTTCGAAAGCCACAGGTGTAGCATTCATAGTGTGCGGAAGTTCGCTTGCACTCAGGGCTCTTTTTGTAGCAGGAACGCCTTGCATATTAGGCGACACACCCCTAATGTAGCCAATCCTCCAAGAGCTTACGAAGCTCTTCTTACAGGGGCTACTGTAAGCTCTTGGAGGATTGGCTACATTAGGGGTGTGTCGCCTAATATGCAAAGCAGTTCCTGCTACAAAAAGAGTTCTGGCACTCCCAATTTACAGCAAGAGTCACCAATCATGGCTGGCCACCATATTGTTTTGGGAGGGGCTTGCTGCTCGGAGCCATGTCCAGATCCAGTGAGAATTGATGTATTTCCCAAATCAACATGGAAACCCAGTGGTGTGTTCTGTCTTAGTATTTCTACTGCTGTGCTTGTTTCCATACTTCGCATGCAAACCCCGTCCTTAACCTCAAAGCCGTCTCTCCTTGGTGTATTCATTTATGTATTTATTCTATTTATACCTTGCTCTCCCCGCCAAGGCAGCCTCAGGGCAGCTAGTCCAAGACAGTAGACAGTATTTTCTTTATTGATTTTCTGGTTGCTGTGGGTAGGTTGAGGGAGAGCTTTGGGCTAAGACGTCCATTTTCTCTCGCGCGACACCACGCCCCAAGACAGTAGATGGCTAGTCCAAGACAGTAGACTTGCACCTAAGGAACTATATACCCCATGCAGTTTATTGTTGGTTTAGTTTTTGTTTTAAATTAAATTTTTATTGAAGTTAAGCAAGTTATACATCCAAAATGAATTCATGAAACAACTTCGTTCTTTTTGAATTCGTACAATAAGACCAAATATAAATTGTAAAATATGCAGGAACATCTTGAAGCAAGCTTAATCAGAACTACTTTCACCCAACTAGAGGTAGCAAAATAACCTTTTGTAACTTCAAAGTCACATTGTCGTATGGGTGCTAATTAAGGCTTTTAAAGGTATTGAGTGTCTCAGTTATCAGACAATTCATACAATTACTAGAACAAGAGTAACATATAGACCAGAGCATTAATATAACAAAATGATACTTGGATTGATTATGTCCACCTGTCAATGATTTGCCTTCAGATCCATCTTATGTAATCTGACCAAGAGGGGGGTATATATTCTTCACTTTCTAAAAAGGTTAGGACTGGAAACCACTTTTGAGCAATAAGGCAGCAGAAAGGCATCTGGTGTACCATTAACTGAAGCAGTCACCCTAGGTCCGCGTTGAATGTCGCCCCGAACTCCTCGAGGTTTTGTGAACGGGGGCTAAAACTAGTTGGCCACTGTGGTGTGAGATGCTGGATGCTGGACTAGATGGACCATTGGTCTGATCCAGCAGGGCTCTTATTATGTTGTTATGATATTTCCTTCCTGGCTCCCTCATCTCTAGGGTTGCCAACCACCAGGTGGTGGCTAGAGATCTCCCAGGATTACAACTGTTCTTCAGACAACAGAGATCAGTTTTTCTGCAGAAAACAGCTGCTTTGGAAGTTGGGCTCTGTGGCATTATACCCTGCTGGAGTAGGGTTCCCTGACCCCCCTGGTGAAAATGGGGGTTCCCTGCTTCCGGGTCCTGTCCCCCAGCCGCCGATCAGCTGGCCGGCAGGGCAACTTACCAGTAAAAAGAGACGAGGTCCAGGCTATGTTGCCAGCGTCGCACAGGAAGTTATGTCATCACACCAGAACCTTTCAGGCGGTGCACTGGTATTTGGGCAAAAAATCTATGGTAGAAGCTGGTTTTACCATAGAGTTTTTGCCCAAATACCAGAGCATCCCCTGGAAGTTGCTTGGCACGATGACATCACTTCTTGTGCAATGCTAGCCATGTGGCCTGGGCCTTTCTCTTCCTCCTGGTAAGTTCCCCCCTCCCCTGCCGGTTGCCAGGAGGGACCCGGCAATACCTGGCAACACTATGCTGGAGTCCCTCCCCAAACACCACCCTCCCCGGGCTCAGGGTGTTGTTCTTAGGGTACTTTGATCTTGGAAAGATTCGTGGGGGGGGGCACAAGGGCCACTACTGGATGAGAGCCCCCATGTGCAAGTGGAAGACCGTTCCCTGTACTATTTAGTTCTCAAAACCTTGTCCTTTCACCCAAAGATTCTCTAAATGTCTTTGTGGAGAAATCCCCCCTCCACTCTCTGTTTTTAAAGTGTTCTTGCTTTCCTTCTCTCTGGAAGGACAGGAAGCTGGGTCAGTTACCAACCATAGCCATGCAAATGACTTGGCTCGCAAGGTTAGTGAGGTATTTGGCATTAGGAATCTTCAGGGGACTTCCAGTAGGGCTCCCAGGATGCACCTGGGTGTCCCAGGATGCACTTGGTTAGAACCAGGGACCAGGTCAGAAGGGGTGGAGAGGGATGTAAAGTGGGTGAAGTCAGAGGTTTAATAAAAGGGTTTGCTCCCAGGAGGGAGGGGCTAATTGTGGTGATCTTTGGACAGACTGCCGAGCTCTGGTCAGCAAGCGGGGGTGCCATCTTGACCACGCGGCCAGGCCTGGGTTTCTGGCTGGCCGCAGAGCGCCTGAGGCAATAAGAGACCTTTAGAACCTTCTGTCACTTTCTAAGCTTGGAATTGCCTGGTCTACTTCAACATCTAGCTAGAGTACATTTTAGAACCAGGGAGAGGGGACGCAATTATGACCAACTTTTCTTTGTTCTTCTGGTTGCTGGTGTTGTGTATGCTTGTAACTTTTCTCCTCTTTTTAATAAATATTTTACTCTTTGAAGCTGGTAGTATTCTCTGGACCGCATAGTTTCCCCAACCCCCTTAGACAAGGCTACTGTAAGAGGGGAGACCCGGGAACGGGGAAGGCAAGCAGTCAAGGCACCCGTTGCCAGTCCTCCAGGGGACCCCCAAAGAAGAAATTTGGTCCCCGTGGTAAGCAGGAGCTGGGTAGCAGGAGACCAGAGGCAGGGCCTCAGTTTGAGAAGGGGCGTCAGGAGTCTGCCCCCCCTGGCAGGAAGACCCCAACAGGACAGTGGTGTAAGCGGCACCCTAGTGGAAGGAAGTGGAATAGCACCCTCCGGGAATTGGCGCATGCCAAGGAGGGGGCAGGCAGAAGAGGGTCTGTAAGTGAGAGCTGGTCTGTTCCATCGCAGTCTCCACTGAAGGGACTCACATGTGTGCCATATCTGAGCTATGATTCAAACTCTGCTAATGCCCCGTGAGAACAAAGCTGTTGGAAGAAAGAGAATGTGACAAGAACAGGGCCTCACTATGAAATGAAAGAGTACAGAGCTGCTGCTGGGCTGTAAAACTATCTCCTTTTGCTGTTTCTGTAGGCTGGGAAAAGGGGCGAGCTGGGTCCCAAAGGAGTTCAAGGCCCCAACGGGACCTCTGGCGTGCCGGGAATTCCGGGACATCCAGGCAAGCTGGGTTTGCAAGGAGAACAAGGGGTGCCTGGGATCACCGGGAAACCGGGTCCTCCGGTAAGTCACTTGCACGTCTCCAGTGCAGTCCCCTTTAGATGTGGCTGGCCAGGTTCTCCCACTTAAATTCGGCCATTTCCTCTACTGCAGTGTTTCTCAGCCTGCGAGTTCGGACCCCAAAGTCAGTCACGATGCCTCGGAAAATGGATCACAGGTCAGCCCTCCCTAATGGCTGCCCCCGCCCTTCTCGTTGCTTTATTTGGTATTTTGGGAATATGTTGGAAAATTTGGTAAAAATAGTTAAATATTCAGAGTTTACAATGGATCTTTGTTCACTGGAGAGGAGGCATTTTCTTTCTATGTAAAAATCTTTATCTCTAAAGGGAAGGAAGGGTACACGGGAAATCTACAAAACAGTAAACACTTAAGACTACATGCTTGCAACAACAGAGACAGATAGTAACAGAAGTTCTTCTTTCTTCTTGACCCCTAGAAGGAAATCACCTGAATGCATTAACTAATGATTGTTAGTAAGTAGGCTCCAGTTTCCCGGGCTTTCTCTCCATTGCCCTTCTGCCAGGTTACCTTCCAGGTCAGGCTAAACAACAGCACACAAGGTAAACACATTAGCCCTATAATGACTGAATTTAGACCTCGCAACACACACATTTCCAACAAAACCAAGATCTGACCCTGGAGACAGCATCTTCCATGTCATGGATTAGGTGGTAGTTTTTCTTCACTGCATATACTTGTCGATTATGTAAAATGTGTCCTGATGGTTACTAGAGTGAGTTTCTTAGAAACTTGGGGGGGGGATTAGCAGGGGTCATGGAGGGGGGGCGGTCAGAGGTTGGAATGGAACCTCCATATGCAAAGACTGTGTAAGTTGGAATGCCACTTGCTGGAGGTTCATATTGGGGGCAGCTGCACCCTTTTGTGAGATGTTTGCGGGTTTCTCAGAAACATCTGGTGAGCCGCTGTAGAGAATGGAATGCTGAACTAGATGGGTACTGAGTTCATGGTTTGTCTAGGGCACCAAAAAACCTTGGATCACCATGCCAAGTAAAGTTGGACTTGTCGGTCACCATCCCAAAAAGTTTGGGAGCCACTGCTCTACTGCACGTTCTAGAGAAGTACTCACGCTAGGCCGTTTCACAAGTCTTGTGATGTTGAGAACATACATGAAGCTGCCTTCTAATGACTTGGTCCAACAAGGTCAGCATTGTCAACTCAGACTGGCAGCAGCTTTCCAGGGTCTCAGGCAGACGGCTTTCACATCGCCTACTACCTCATCCTTTAAATTGAACATGCATTGCCTACTACCTCATCCTTTAAACTGAAGATGCCGGGGACAGAACCTGCCACCTTCCGCCTGCAAATTTTTGTTGTTGTTGTTCAGTCGCACAGTTGAGTCCGACTCTTCGCGACCCCACGGACCACATCACGCCAGGCCCTCCTGTCTTCCGTAGTGCTCCGGAGTTTGCTTAATTTCATGTTCGTTGCCTCGATAACACTGTCTAACCATCTCATCTTTTGCCGCCCCCTTCTTCTTTGACCTTCAATCTTTTCCAGCATCAGGGTCTTCTGCAAATTTTATTTATTTATTATTTGTGTTTATAGCCCGCCCATCCCGCAAACAGGCTCAGGGCGGGTAACATCATGTCAATAATATAATAATACAATACATACAGTTAAAGATTTAAAAGACAATCATAGACATTAAAAGCAATGGTCGCAGTTCAACAAAGGCAACCGGCTGTGAGAGGGTCCCTGCCATATTGTTTGGCTTGGCTAGGTGGGCGACAATTGAAGAAGATCCCGCAGGGCCCCGATCCCGACAGGGAGCACGTTCCTTGAGCCACGGCCTGCCCCCTTGATGTGTGTGTATGTGTGTTCCATCACACGCAAACACAGCCTGGGGAAAAAAGAAAGTAGCAAATGGGTCAAAAGGCAATGAAATGCAAAGAGGTTCAGCTCTGTGACGATCCTACGCAAAACCCGAAGGGATAAATACCAATGAACATTCACAGCAGTACAAACCGATGATAATGTAATCTTATTAAACTAAATTAATACCTGTAGTGTGAGAAGCTGATCGCTGTTGAGAACCTAATTCAGCAGTGTCAAGCGTCCTGACTAATTGAGCAGCTTCCTGCCGGATTCTGCCTTTGAAATTCTTTCCTTGACGAATTGCAGACTGTATCTTAGGCTGCGGTCACACACGCAAGATAATCCACTTCCAATCCACTCTCAGTGCCCTTTCCAACTGGGTTTTGCCAGTTCACGTACAGTAAAATCCAGTTTGAAAGTGCACTGAAAGTGGATTTAAATTGGATTATTTAGTGTGTGTGACCACAGCCTTAGAAGAGGCATTCTTCCCTGTGTGCATGCGTGAGAGAATCAGGAATGCTTCTCCTAAAATGATGGCCTGCTGCCAACAAAAATCTAATTTATTTATTTACGTTACTCAATAGTCTGCCTTTCTTACAGGGACTCAAGGAGTGAGTCAGTACAATAATCAGTGCATTAGGATTTTAGAAGTCTGGAACCACCAAAAAGGACTGAAGCATAGCAAAAGTATTCACAAGGCACATTTTGCCGTACAGAAATAGCATAAATAGGATCCTTCTTACAGTCTGTAAACACAGAGTGTGATTCAAATGTGGAATTCGCTGCCAGAGGATGTAGGGATGGTGACAGGAATGAACAGCTTTAAAAGGGGATTAGATAGATTCATGCAGGAGAATCAATGGCTACTGGCCATGGTGACTGAAGGGAACCTCCATATTGAGGGACTCTAGGCCTCTGAATCCCAGAGCCAGGAGGCAACATCAGGGGAAGGCCTTGGCCTCTCTGTCCTGTTTTTGGCCATCCAAAGGTACTAGTTGGCCACTGTGTGAGACAGAATGCTGGACTAGATTGACCACTGGTCCGATCCAGCAGGGCTCTTCTTAGGTTCTTATGAAGGCCTCAGCCCGTATGCCCTGTTGTTGGCTGTCCAGAAGACCTGGTGTGAGACAGGATGCTGGACTAGATGGACCACTGCTCTGATCCAGGAGGGCTCTTCTGATGTTCTTATGAAGGCCTCGACCTCTATGCCCTGTTGTTGGCCCTCCAGTGGAACTGGTTGGCCCTCCAGAGGAACCGGTTGGCCACTGTGTGAGACAGGATGCTGGACTAGATGGACCACTGCTCTGATCCAGGAGGGCTCTTCTGATGTTCTTATGAAGGCCTCGACCTCTATGCCCTGTTGTTGGCCCTCCAGTGGAACTGGTTGGCCCTCCAGAGGAACCGGTTGGCCACTGTGTGAGACAGGATGCTGGACTAGATGGACCACTGCTCTGATCCAGCAGGGCTCTTCTGATGTTCTTACAATAAGCTATACACAGTCCCTAATCAATTATTCAAGCAAGTCTGTGAAACCATTTAGTGCAGTGCAGCCCTATTACCTGTGCAGAAAAGCCATCTTGAATAGTTCAGTTTTGCATAGTTTGCGAGAAGCCAGGGGGAGGGAGAGCTTTCTGACCTCCTCAGGCAAACCGTTCCGTAAGGTAACAAGATGATAACAAGAAGATCGTGCTCATCAAGATTTCTCTGCTTAATTTCAGGGGAAAGAAGCCAGTGAGCAGCACATAAGAGAACTCTGTGGTGGGATGATCAGTGGTAAGTAAAGGCAGCCAGGGCGGGGCTGGGGAATGCTGCGTCCTCCATGACGGTGCTTTCTGGATCCAAAACAGACCCCCCCCCCCATCAATACATTGCAAGCTCTTCTCCACAGCCATCGTGGATAGATAACTTTTTTTAAAACAAACAAACAAACAGGATTTCTCTGACTTTTGTAAGAGACCACGTATCTAGCGATATCAACAGCATAGTTACTGCTGTCAGTATGGGTGCCAAGCTCCAGGTGGAGCCTGGAGATCTGGAATTTCAACAAATCTTCAGAGTACAGAGATCAAGTTCCCCTGGAGAAAATGGCTGCTCTGGAGGGTGGACTCTATGGCATTTTACCCCACTGAGGGGCCCCTCCCCTCCCCAAACTCCACTGTCTTCAGGCTCTACTCCCAGATATCCAGGACTTTCCAAGCCAGAGTTGGGAACCCCTAGCTGCTACCGAGGGGTTTTAGGGACAAAGTTGCTGGCTTTCACCATTTATGATGCATTATGATCAGGGATCATTTCATAGAAAAAGAGGTGCAGGAGCTCATTAGCATAACTAATTTGCATATGCCACACCCCCTGACATCACCAGAAGTGTGTCAGAAGGCAACACCCACCGCTCAGGCTCCACTGGCTGTACTGTTTTGGATTGCTAGCTATTGGGGGGGGGAGAACGTGCAGATCTGTCCTCGCAGAGGAGGGAGAACTTGTACCTGAATTAAACTTGGTCTTAAAGGTGCCACTGGACTGTTTTGGACCGGGGGGGCTCTGCAACTTACCTGGCTGCTTCTTGCGCTGACTGAGGGCTGTTGGGAGCGGGGGGGAGCTTGTTGCATGTGCCCGCCCCCTGGGGTCTTTGCTGCCGGAGCTCCGCTCCTGTGCACTCCTGCAGGAAACGACCCCGATTATGATTTATTTATTTATTTATCTTTTTGGTAAAACTTTTGTTCATTTACAAATTTTATATCCTGACATTTCGGCCCAAAGGGCCACCAAGGAGGCAAACAATTAAAAGTGGAACATGATAAAACCCATCATAAAACCAATCTAAACCACCAAAAATGTAATTTAGAAAAACAGCTATTATAACACCGGGCAGGAAGGTGAGGTCACTAAGGGAACAGCCAGCAAAGTTTTTCCCAGTCGTAGAAGCATGATACTGAGCGAAGTAAATAAATCTCCTGAGAAGTATATTGCAAAAAAGATAAACCTACATTTATTCAAGTTGATCCAGTTCACATTCGGGTTGCAGCCGAAAGGAGGGAGAGAAACCTAATCGAAGGAGTCCTTTCCCTCTCACAAATGGCCATTTTGTCCGGCATCATGTTTGGGGGAGTATGAGGGCATTGTCTCTACAGGAGAGGTCTGCAGAGACATGTGTCTCCATGGAAGGCCATGTGAGGAATATGAGAGGACAAAGTGGAAGATAGAGGGCGGGGTCAGAGGGCAGCTTCCAAGTTAAGACAAAGCGAGGCCTCCCATTCAAGGAAGTAACACCTAAACACACTTAGGGTGCATTCAGACGCGCCGTTTCAGCCGGCATAAACTGTACCGGTTGGAACCGGTGCAGTTTATGCTGGCTGAAACGCATTCACACTCACCTCCTGTCTGCGGATCCCATCACTGTATGCCCGTCCACACACAGCGGGCATCGGCGTTTTTTGTTTTTGTTTTTAAACTCAGTTTGAGCATGCACATAGGCAGCCATCCATAGAATGGCGATCTTTGCGCATGTGCAAAAAAACCCTGTATTACTTACCTTTAAAGTTTAAAGAGCAAAGTAGCCTCCCTGAGGTCCCGGACACCTCCGAAACGCTAAACTAAGGCCCTTTTCTTTCTTTTTTTAAACAAATGCCAGGGCGAAGCTTCGCCCAAGCGCATATCGCCGACCTTTAAAAAAAATGGCCGGCAAAAATCGGAAGCTTCAGGCTTCCAAACGGAAGTGGCTCTGCAACGGTGGAGAGTGATCAGACGGGGGGTTAAGCGATTACAACCGTTGTACTCAGGATACCACCACTTGGGGACCTAGTGGCAGAGTACAACAGTTTAAAGGGCTTTGCAACGGTTAGGGACAGAAGGCAGATGTTCGCCGTGTGAACGCCGGTAAGTACACCGATTCCAACCGGCACCTATACTGTTGCAAACGCCGCGTCTGAACACACCGTTAGAGTGATGAAGAGCCCCCAACATCCAGGCATGCTGAGTCGCTCACTCCAACCCAAATACTCTGGAGAAGCGAGTTCCCCAGTTTATCTTCCAGATCTTCACGTCATGGGGGAAATGTCGGAAATACCAAGGCACTCGGTTACTAGGCTTAGTAATCAGAAGGCAGATAAGAACCTGCTGTACTTTCCAACAATATGGCCTGGGAGAATGTTAGAATTACCCTGGCGTGGAGGGAGGGGAAGAGAGGAAGTTGGCTTCTTAATAAAGCAACCTCACAGCACTTTGGGGTCTTGCACAGCTGTGGATATATTAGGCCGTGACACTCAGTCTTGAACAGGTCACCCGTCCTGAGCTAAATCTGGAGCAGGCAAGTCCAGAAAGGAATGTCGTTCAGTGTGTGATCAGTGAGACTTCTGTCCCTGCTGTGTATCTGTCATGCACAGGAGAGGTTCATCAAACCACAGGCACTGGCGGTTGTTCCATACATGACTTTTTCTTTTTCTTTTTTAGCTGTACAGCTAAGAATATAAGGAGCAAAACAGAGAGAGGTGGACCATACAGGGTTGCTAATCAGAGAGTTGGATAGGGTGCATCTAATGTGTGAAATGACCTCTTACATACCTATATTGTGCTGACCTGAATAGCCAAGGCTTGCCTAATCGCGTCAGATCTCAGAAGCTAAGCAGGGTCGGCCCTGGTTAGTATTTGGATTGGAGACCGCCAAGGAAGTCCAGGGTCACTACGAAGAGGCAGGCAATGACAAACCACCTCTGTGCCTCCATGCTGAACACGATGGCCCAGGGTAGCCCAGCGCTGTCATTAGGGATGTGCATTCGGTTCGGATGAACCAGAAGAAAAATGAATAATGCCTATTCGGCATTATTCGGGCCTGCCTAAAACCGAATCAGATTCCCTAATCTGATTTGGCTGGCCAAACTGGGATTGCCCGAATGGATGCCGTATATTCGGCATCCATTTGGGGAATCCCTTTGCTGGGTGAGGGGAAGATCCTTCCAGGGTCTTCCCCGGCTGGCCCGCCTCGATGGGCGTGCCAGGCAAGGCCGGGGGGGTGCTCTTTCCAGGCCTTCCCTGGCTTGCCCACTTCGTCAGATCTTGGAAGCTAAGAGAGTCATCTGTGGTTAGTACTTGGATGAGATACTGCCAAGGAAGTCTAGGGCAGCTACGCAGAGGCAGTCAACGGCAAAGCAAACCTTGCCTTGCAAACCCTACGGGGTCGCCATCACTTGGCTGCAACTTGACAGCAAAAAACAAAACCTAGATTAATGATTCATGGATTCATACGGGGAGGGGGAAACTAACTTGCCTTTTTTTAATCTTTAGAGCAAATTGCCCAGTTAGCTGCTAATCTGAGAAAACCCTTGGCACCTGGACTCACCGGTCGGCCTGGGCCTGTCGGTCCCCCGGGTCCTTCCGGGAAAACAGGAAGTGTTGGGCATCCGGGGGCTCGTGGTCCACCTGGCTACAGAGGGCCACCAGGTGACTTGGGAGATCCTGGTCCTCGAGGTGAGTCAGATTTCAACTTGAAGGAGACCCTGAGCTACGTCTGGGCTCCTGTCTATCTGGCTAGTACATGTGGGGGGTTTTAATATCATCTTTCTCCAAGGAGCTCGCAACGACGTATATGTCTCTGGTTTATCTTCACAACAACCCAGCCAGGTAGCTGAGCCTGAGCAAGCCCAAGTGTCCCAATGTCCCCAGGAAGCTGCAAGGCAGAATGGGGATTTGAACTCAGTGCCACCAGATCCTACACTGCCACTTTAAACCACTACACTATATTGTTATAGGGTGCTTTATGATAATTGCAAGTAGATAAATAGGTACCACTTCGGTAGGAAGGTAACAGCGTTCCGTGCGCCTTGGTGTTTAGTCATGCCGGCCACATGACCACAGAAACGTCTTCGGACAGCGCTGGCTCTTTGGCTTTGAAACGGAGATGAGCACCGCAACCCTAGAGTCGGACTCGACTGGCTTTCGAGCAAGGGAACCTTTACCTTTTTATGATGTCCCTTAGCTGGGACCTACCCAATTACGAAAGGGCTGCGGTGGCTCAAGTGGTTAAGACGCTGAACTGCAGACCTGAAGGTCAGTAGTTCGGCAGTTTGAGACCCGAGTGCCACATGATGGAGTGAGCTCCCGTCTCTGGCCCCTTCTCCTGCCAACCTAGCAGTTTGAAAGCAAAAATGTGCAAGTAGATAAATAGGTACCACTTCGGTGGGAAAGTAACAGTGTTCCGTGCGCCTCGGTGTCTAGTCATGCCGG